AAAACGCCTTACTATACTATGTTTTTTTTTTCGGGGTAAAAACGCCTTTCTATACATGCTCGTTTTTTTCGGCTAAAAATGCCTTGCTATACATGGTCATTTTTTCCCGCTAAAAACGCCTTACTATACATGGTCGTTTTTTTCGGGCGACAAATGCCTTACGATACATGGTCGTTTTTTTCGGCTCAAAACTTACTGTAAATGGTCGTTTTTTCCGGAAAAAAAAACACCTTACTTTACATGGTCGTTTTTTTCGGCTAAAAACGCCTTACTATACATGGTCGTTTTTTTCGGCTAAAAACGCCTTTCTATAAATGGTCATTTTTTTCAGCTAAAAACGCCTTACTATACATGGTCGTTTTTTTGGGCTAATAGCGCCTTACTATATGGTCATTTTTTTTCAGGCTAAAAACACCTTACTCTACATGGTCGTTTTTTTGGGTGCTGAAACGCCTTACTATACTATGTCGTTTTTTCGTGCTAAAAACGCCTTACAAAACATTGTTTTTTTTTCGGGCTAAAATCACCTTACTCTACATGGTCGTTTTTTTTGGTGCTAAAAACGCCGTACTATACTTGGTCGTTTTCTTTGCACTAAAAAAGCCTTACTGTACATGGTCGGTTTTTTTTGCACGAAAAACGCATTATACATGGTCATTTTTTGCGCTTAAAACGCCTTTCTGTACATGGTCGTTTTTTGGTGCTACAAACGCCTTACTATTTATACATGGTCGTTTTTTTCAGGCTACAAATGCCTGACGATACATGGTCATTTTTTGGGTGCTAAAAACGCTCACTCACCTGAGAAAAGGCCACGTGCACAGTCGCCATCTTGCCGCACCTGTGCAGCGCACTTGACGAATCCCCTCGTGCACTGTCTCCAAATCACTCGCAGGGCAGACATGACGTCCAGCAATCCAAGCCAACCTTTTCCGCTTATTTAACTGCACTTTGCACACTATCGCCACCTGGTGACCCGTCATCCTGACTGCTTTGGCTTGCCGGAGAAATTGTTGCTTACATTTTATCCAAAAATCACATGCCACAAAGTACGGTAAACGCTGCCTTGTCGCCATCTCCTGGCCAGTATGAGAAATGCTTCTGGTGTCCAAAATAGACTCTTGCACTCTTCTCTTTTGGGACCTCACCTGAAGCCTGGCAGAGATTTTGCACCACACTGTTGCCTTTCCCACATTGTGGACAGGTTTGAATCAGGGTCTTATTCGTGTTAAGGGTGGGGGGGATTTGCAGTGTAATGTACTGTTTAATGATAACCAGTCATTATATACAACAGTTTGGTTTGAGGGCTTTCAATAAAAGATAAATGAGATCAAACAAAATACAATAATAATAATCATAATACTGATTGCGATAAGGAAAAACCTCGCATGTCTATTAACAAATGGAACTGCAGACTCAAATCAATACGGCATATCATTTTGACGCTCCCATTGTAGACATATACAATTTCGGAGTAAAATGTTTACATCTTACCCAGAGAATTTGTATGTACAAATATAAATATTCAGCTACGTCTATGCTTCATAAACGGCTAAAGTGGGGAGGAAGGGATGAACAAAGTAGACATTCAAAGAATTGTAAGAAACCTGAGTCCATTTCTGAGGAAATGTGCAAATGAAAAATATTCCACCTCTCCTTCAAATGGAGGCTTCTACAACGTCCACGTGCCCTTCCAGAGGAGCTCAGCAGAGCCAGGAGGTGGGCACCCACTGAGGCTCTGTGTCCAGCTTCTCGATGAGTTTGCGCACTTCAAAGAAAGCCTCGTTTGGCGCAACGTTCACGACCGTGGCGTCAAAAACATGGCCAAAGTCCTGCTCCATCTCGCGAGCCTTCTCGATGACCTCCTTGAGCTCCTCCGGCTGTGCGGGACACAGAAGGTGAATTTGAGTTTGAAGATTTAATATCAAGTCAATCGATCTTCATGTCATCTGCATGAACCTGACCGGGAGACTATTTCGTACCTTGGGTGTTTTTCTCTCACTAGCCAGCAGGGTGCGCAGTCTTTCTTGAGAAGGAGGCGCAATGAAAATGACGAAGGGCTTGAGGTTGGAGGACCTCAGGAGCCTCAATGACTGTCGAAGAGTCAAAGTATTAGACAGTATTTCCTCCCCTCATTATTTGATGGCATTTTCTACTAAGAAATGGCCTCAAAACTAGGGCCGGGCAAAAAGGCGACCAAATGGTTCAGCATTTTTTTTTTCTCTGCCCCGAGGCATTTCTGGTATCGCTGTACAATCATGACCACTTTTATAGTCTATTAATCCCCACTTTTGGTGGAAAGTTGACACGGCAGTTTTTATTACTCGCGTAATCGATGGAATAATCGATTCGTAAGTGATTCGTTTGTGACAGCCCTAACTCAAAACTCTGAAGTCCTACATCGGAAGGCTGCCGCTACTTGTCGTGCGTGCGCCGCAGCTGGCCCCAAATTAGACTTGACGATCGATATTTTGACATAGCGAGACAAGCACGCTACTGTACCCTGGTGTGCAGGCAGAGCAAGCAGATGCGTCCAGAGTTGACCACGTGTCGCACAGAGTCCGTGCTGGTTCCGTACAGGTTCTTCTCGTACTCCCCGGACTCGATGAACTTCCCCGCGGACAAGTCAGCCTCAAAGCCTTGTCGACTCACAAAGTGGTACTCCCGCCCATTTCGCTCGTGTATCCTCGGGCTTCTGGTCGTGTCTGCATGACCGAAGAGTTGCAATGAAATTACGATCTGTTCGTCTCTTTTTTTAAGTGAATTTTGTTAACTTACGTGGGACGGCGACGGCAAACTTGTCCGGTTCAACAGCAAGCAGCCTGCGGCGCAGCTCGTCGTGGCCGCTGTTTGTCGGAGCGATCAGAGCGATGGGACGTTTGCGGTTGGCAGGCTGGTGATAGAGAGACATCTCCTCATAGGTCAGGACTTCATCGGGTTCTGTGGAGATCGGATATTTTCAAAGTTAGTCATGTTTGTGTGGAAGGAGAGGACCAACACATTTGGGTTTTGGGGGATTATTTTTGAAATTTGAATCCTGAGTGACTAAATCAACTTTGGTGGGTATTGTACCAGCATTCATCAAATCAGGGGTCCCCAACCGCCGGTCCGCGGACCGGTACCGGTCGCCCGGGCATTTGGTACCGGGCCGCACAGAAAGAACTTGCCTTAATTCCGTTTTATTTATTTCGGAATACGAAAGATGTTTTATTTTGGAAAAACTACCGGATTCTCCGTTACACCCGTCTGTGTCACGCTTGACACACGTCAAGCCACGCTTCTCCAACACGTGACCGATTACTTCAAAACAAAACGCAGGAGCTCGTAAAATGCTTGACTGTTTTAAAAACTAGTAATCTATTAAAGTATCCATAAAAGCGGGGCCCCCCACCCGCCGGTCCGCGGACCGGTACCGGTCGCCCGGGCATTTGGTACCGGGCCGCACAGAAAGAACTTGCCTTAATTCCGTTTTATTTATTTCGGAATACGAAAGATGTTTTATTTTGGAAAAACTACCGGATTCTCCGTTACACCCGTCTGTGTCACGCTTGACACACGTCAAGCCACGCTTCTCCAACACGTGACCGATTACTTCAAAACAAAACGCAGGAGCTCGTAAAATGAGTAAAAAAAACTGCTGGAGGTCGCAAATGACGGCGGCCTTCAAAGTACGCTCGAGACAACTGGATTAAAGTTATGGCTGAATACTCTGAGATCGCCACAATAGCACTGTTGCTATTTCCTACATCCTACCTGTGTGAAGCGGGTCCGTGGGGCAAAAAAGGTTGGGGACCCCTGCATCAAATAATAAATCGAATGAAAACTGTGAAAATATGCCAGAGTATGCCACAATTTGACTGTAATTTAAAAGGAGCAAAGAGAGGATTTATGATTTGAATGAGGCCCATTGTCGTTGCTTTTTTTCATGGGCTAGTTTGGCCACAGATCTGCTTCGTAGCTACAGTTGGGGACTCAAAAGCTCACGAGGCGAGTCGCTCGTGTTTGTCTGTGTGGCAAGGTGCGCACCACATGACATGGCAGGGTCCCTCCAAGTGATTTAAGCCCCCGCTGGGGACCTTTTGGTGCCTCTGATCCCGTCTGTGAGGAGAAGACTAATCTGAGCCAAGCAGAGGCCGGGTCATGTCCGCCATCGCTAGAGGAGTTTTGTGACGCATCGAAGCAGACGACGTTTGACAGACAAGATAGTGAGAGTGGAGCGCGAAGGGAAGCGTGGTTATGAAAGAGTCTTTTTCTTTTTACCGGTGTTTTTGCTCAGAGGAGATGTGCTTTTCTTCTTCGGTTTCTTGTTTTTCTTCACATACCAACGTTTCCCTGAAAAAGAAGCAGTTACACGCGATGGCAAAATCCTGCCTTGCCCATGTGTAACCTTCAAAGTGCAAAGCAACGTGATCTTCTTACCTTGTTGTTCCCTACTCCGGTCTGGTGGTGTTCTCTTCAAGGTCTCTCTCTGTTGCTGGAAGCACTTCCCTGAAAAACACGACGACGTGACTGTTGTGCGTAAAGACACTTTGCTTTGTTTCAAACTCTTGGCATTTTTATTTTTCAGTTTGAGTTGGCCCACTTTCCATTTCCACCGCTTAACCTCCTTTTGTAGCAGGCACAGGCTTGGGCCAAAGAGTAATCTCAAATAATTCTCAGGTGTTTGATTTAATCTGCTGGATTTGCCGGATGGGTGGGGCTTGGCTCAGATAGTGCTGCTGCGTTGGTTGCCTGCCACAATATATCGTTTGCATTTCCATACCACTGGTTGAACTGCACAAATATTCATTTTAATTCCGTATCCGTCTGGCTGAATCTGCCCAACCTCCATTATTATTCCCTAAATTAAAAAAACATGCCACCTTGACTGTATCACCAAAGACCCGTGGTTCAAGATGGTATTCCACTATACTACCAGATTCTACTGCACAGCCCAAAATCCCGTTCAGTTGCTAATTTAAGGTAATCAAAATTGCTAATTTAGTACTCTTGTCAGAGATAAAAAGGGCCATCTACAACCAGGTATATGTTTATGACGACCCCGCAACCAGGAAAAAAAAAAAAAAAAAACCCTCTTCAAGCGACTAGGGTGACATCATATTCACCCCAAAGTCTTTTCCAAAAGTCTTACAGCTATGAGTGACAGAATACAAAAATACAAAAACACGAAGTTAAACTCGGTAATGAATCTGCACACACTTAGGTCGATTGCTGACCAGTTTCTTTGACACTAAAGAATTACAGTGATCTAGTTTGAACAAAAAGGCTCATTCAAATGCATCTGACCTATTTTCACTCCTCCTAGTTTAAAAATCAAATAAATAAAAATCCAAACTGTCAATGTTGAGATGACAATGCGGCACAGCTCCCGCAAAGTGAAGACGACAGACAGTTATGATGCGTCTCACTTGAAATTGCCTGATAATGCTGAGATGATTAGCTATTTGTGCAGTCATGATTTTTTTTTTTTTAATGTCATACGAAGGAAATCAAAGTAAACAAAAAAATATCCATATTTAGGATCTGCCCAACCTGGAACGAGTCCCGCCAGCAACTGGTTTTCTTCATCTCCGTCCCTGTAGGCCTGCCACCAGTTGGGGTCGTCCTGGCTTATTACATGGAGAATATCTCCTTTCTGGAAAGCCAGGCCCAGCTCCCGACACGGCACAAAAGGGTCATCCGAGGGGTCGTAGTCAAAGTAAGCTCGTACGTGCATCTGTGGAACAGGGGGCGGAAGCGTTTTGACACGCGCTTTGCTGCCCTTGGCTACGTGTGTGCGTGCAGACAGGCCACGCAGGTCCACCGTCGAGACTTACCACAGTCTGTCTGTGTGGGGCAGGTTTAATCTGAGCGCTCGGGATGAGAAGGAAGGTCAAAGTGCCGTGCATTTGTTGCTGGCGGAAAAGACGAGAAGAGATGAACGTCCATTAAAAAAAACACCATGAAATCATCATTCACCTAAGTGCTCATGCAACAACCGTGAAAACAAACCTTGAGTGAGATGTTTACTCGCTGGATGTAACATGAGATCAACCCCACAAAATTCTGTTAACTATTACACTGATAGGATGAATCTGCGTTGAGTCTTCATTGACTGTGCATGTGTCTTGGGTACTATCACCAAGTTGATTCTCATTTTCAGCCTGCTGCTACTGGAGGCCCAACGGACAGAGTTCTACCCAAGGGTGCAGGTAAAGAAAATTGACAAAACGACTCAAATTGTAATAACGCTTATGTTGACGAAATAAAAACAAGAGTGCTTTTCAAAAAACACAATCACGGTAGCTACATTTTACATTTTGAACACAAATAGCAGCCAAAATGTCAAATAATTTCATACCTGAGCTTTTGGGATTCAATTTCAATGTTCTTATTTTGATTTTGCATAAAGAAGATTGTTTGGAAATTGTCGTTAATTTTGTGACCTTATTTTCTTCTTCTTTTTTTAATCCTGCACTTTATATTAAAAAACTAATACTAAAACTAATAAAAACTAAAGTAAAACATAGCATTTTCCCCCAAAAAATAAAAACAGACAGACCTGCTCCTAAAACTAATTGCATTAAAAAAAAAAAAAAAAAGTAAAAACGAAATAAAAACTAATTTTTATGACAACAATTGCAACCCCGGTTCTCACCAATAAGTCGTGAACTTCATTGACGTGCTTCCCGCGAACGGACACGCCGTTGATCTCCAAGATCTCGTCCCCTTCGTTGAGCAGGCCGCTGCGCTCTGCGGTGCCGCCTTTCACGACGCGGCTCACCACCACGCTGTCCATGTCATTCCGCACAGTCGCACCCTAGAGGCAGACGCACGCACTGTTTATAATATTCAAGGGCACAGGTGATTCCTCTGCAATGAAACCTTCGCACTCAAAAGCCACCGAGGTATTCCGTCTGGCTTAAGAGGTTACGCTCCATTTGCGTTTTTCCCGCTGTCTATTGCCTATTGAGTTGAACATTGAAGAATGTAGACGGCCTCTCACCAGCGGAGTGTCACGGGTCTTATGAAGCCGCACCATTTTAACAGTTTCCCCAAAATACTGGATCACGTTGTCCTCTGCCATTTCTTGCACAGCTAAGCTGTCATGTGCTTGCATCAGTGCCTGTGCGCATAAAGCAAAGAGTAAGGATGCATCTGTACGGTTTGATCACGCTTTTGCTGAAATGAGACGAACAAAATCCAGTGCGACATATCGGGACCGACCTGGATGCTGTCACAAGGAGTCATGCCACTTGCCTTTGCCCCAACTCCTCTCAGTTTTGCATTTTTTGGGGGACAGTGTCAATTGGCGCTGGTTTCTCCCAGAAAATATGGAGATTTTGTAGGATGGGTACTTGGACTATCCATCCAAATTCATGCATTCGGGACAAGTTAACGCCAACGAAACTATTATGCAGATGCATATGTTCCATGGTGAAAACCATGTGAGCACCAAAAATAGCCACATATTTCAAGTCTCCAAAGTCGTGCTGAATGCACTAGAACTCTGCTCCACCTTCGCCTGTCAATCAAATACGTTCACACGTATGTTCAAATTGAGGGTGTCCGTGGCAGACTGGAGCACGTGTCCCGCCGTGTTTACTAAACAGTTAAATGCCAAAACTGACACGACAGGCTGTTAATTAACTTTCGCGACACTCCACAAGCGCAGGGGAACCCCTGGAGCAAAATCGCGAGCTACAAGTCAACGGGTGTGAATCGAACACAAGGCAACCTGACCTGGAGATGAGGATTGGTCAGCAGAGCCCTGAGCTCCAAGCCTTCTCTCTGTTGATTGGACTGGAGGATCTTCTGGACCTGAATACACGCACACACGCAGCAACGGAAGCTCACATGAAGATTTAGCTGAAATTCCAAGGGAAGAGCTACAAGTTTCCCCACGGCTCCCAATTCGAATCATTTCCTTGAATGTACCATTTGGTGAGAATCGCCGTTTCTTCAGACGAAAAAAAACCTCCGTGGCGGTGAATGTGAGTAGGAATGCTTGTGACTGGCTTTAATCAAACTGCTTGTGGATTTAAAAAAAAAAAAAGCAGGGAATTGAGTCTTACAAAATGTCCTTGGTGTGTTGTTAGCAGTCCGCTGTGTCCATGACACAAATCAAGCTCACCAAGAAGGTGACGCACTTCTGCCACCCTCCCTCCCTCAGCCATGCCGCTCCTCCAAGCACACTGCAGTAAGCCGCTGGAGTTTCTTTTTCCGGCCTGCTCCCCGCTGCACTGTGCCGCACCGTGCGGGCTTGCTAAGAGATTAGTTTAGCCAATGGCAGGGTCCACCGCGGCGCGGCCACGGCTATTCGGGGTTGTTAAAACGCTTCGGGATCCGTGCCCGGTGTGCGCTCTCACACATGCCGGTTTACTGCGCGCGCGGGAGGACTCCACGTTGCCATGTCCAACAGCAAAATAGATCCGCTCAGTCAGGTTGTCTCAAGGCAAGACTGGAATAGCGGCGGTGCTGCTTGGTGGCCTTTCAATGAACTTTACACACCTCAAGGCTGCCTGTTTCATACGTGATAAAAGGCTTATTCTACCCTCCCCCCCCACCTCCTCATTCTGATTACAGAGTTGACGCAATTCCAACGGTGGGCCTGTTTACCTAAGTAACAGCAAAGCGGGTTACAACGCCTGTCTCTGGTTCTGTGTGACAGGAAACAAACGCAGGCTCAACTGTGCCCTGTGGACGTAAGTCAATTACCGCCTGCTTTGCTTTCGGCCTGAGTGAGTTGTGTTTGTGCACACGGCATACCTCTAGGCATAGCTCCTGCGCTTGCACCGTGAGGGGTGAGGTGGGGGTCACTCGGCTCATCTTTTGGGACACGACGGTGTAGATGCTGTAGGCGCACTTGAAGTCGTCCTTGGCGAGCAGCTGGAGCAGCAGCTCGGCATCCTGCTGGCTCTGAGCGTCTGTCACGCATTGCTGCGCCCACTTGACGGCCTGCAGCAGCTCCTCCAATTCTGATGGAGGCGGACACACGGGACACGTGTTGCGCGGATGACGATTTTACCTGCGCTCCGATGTCATTCGGCTCTCTTCAAAGGCTCATTTTATACACGCCGCACACTGGCAAGGTGATTAATAGCAGAGTGTGATTTAGGCTAATCGTGTTTCACCCTTGACTTGAGAGCGCAACTGTAGCTTCATTCAAACCGCTAATAAAAGAGTGAGCGCGTTAACCACTAAACTCACTGCTCAATCTTGAATCTTCATCTGACCAATACATTCCGGCACAATGTTCTTATAAGCATGCTCGGTTTGAATTTGAATGGAAGAAGGAACCTGAAAGCAGTTTGCTCATACAAAGAGCTCACAACTTGCCATTCTTCCGCATTCCTCTATGAGCCCCTTTAAAGACCCCGAGATATCCATTCCTGTCAACTCACCGGCAAGAGGAACCTGGGAATGTGCATCTTTGGGAGCATTGTCCTTCCCCTCAAAGGTGGGATTGTCAACGCCCACTTTTGGGTTCTGCGCCAGCTTCTTGAGCCTCAGCGAAGCGTCTGGGTCGATGTCATGTCTGCCCCGGCCGTCCTCTTCCCTCCTCTTTCTCAGCTCCTCCTGGTAGTGTTGGATTCTCTCCATCTGGGCGCTGCAGTGAACGGGCTGGACGAGGCAACTCTCGTCACCGGGACAGTCCACCGCCCGCTCCCTGTGGCCGGCAGCCTGAGCGGTGCCCTCCTGCACGTAACCGTTCATGTGGGACATGATCATCACTGCCCCCCAGCATACAGCTCAGACCACCTCAGTCTTGGCTGAACTCAGCTCAGCTGTAAAGAGGACGTGGTGGAGAGTCTCTCATCTGGGGCCATTTTACTCCAACAGGGGATGAAGACTTATGAGGGGGCAGACATTCATCCTGAAACGTATGCAAACATGAAGGTCGTATAAATACCCACATAAAGGCAGATTAGACCTGGAGCGTTCAATATTTAGTCTCACAATAAGTTTATCAAAGAACACCATTATTAGGCTTTCGTCTGCTCTATTTTAATAGCGCTTTTCCTCCAATACATTCTTACCTTCTTGTTCTAATCAAGACTCTCAAAAGCCCTCATCCAGGCCTCGACATGTCTCCAGTGATTCCTTCCCTCATAAGATATCATTCCTGACATGCATCTTTAAATATGGTTTAGATATTTTTACATGTTAAAATATCACACTCGCCTCTAATTGAAATTGCAAATGGTCAGCTCCATAAGACTTATTATAGCCTATTAAAGCATTTTTGTGCGTGTGTTTGGTTGCAGTACAGGCTATCTTGTAAGGTATCCTATCCTGCAGGTACATGCACCTTGACAACAAGGTCTATTTTTTTTGCTTATGTCCAGTAGCCATTTATATCAGACTCCTGGCAGCCCTCCCCCTTTACTCCTGACTTGCCTCAGCTAATCACAATTGGCAGCACCCCAACCCCCCTCCCCACACAATCTCTTGCTCCAAGCCCTGGAAGCATTTATCTCAGTTTAGACTGGCGGCTGACAAACAGCGGAGACTCGGAGAGGGCCATCTGTCGCCACAGCCTTAATTAATCCTTGGATATCTCAGCAGGCCGAGGTACCTGAACAGGAGAGTCAGTTATGTGTATAGGATAGGAGGTGAAATGATCAAATATGACCTGACCCAATCAAATGACCAAGATAAAGAATTCACACACGCACCAAAAAAGAGACCTGATAATCACTTGAAATGAACTTCTAATAGGTGCACGCATGAAAGGATGTCATACACATGGGCAAGCATTCATTCTCAAGAGTGGTCCTCATTCTATGGATCTCCCTCACACTTCATGCGCTGTCTCTCATTTTAACATCTTCTCGACGACCAAATCAGAGAACCCCAAATTTAGGGATGAGATTTAAAATTGGCTTTTTTTTTGTTTTAAATCAGACCATTAATAGTCAATGTATATATTGTACAGTTCTTCACCGATCATCAATTAAGGAGTACATTTGAGTCTTGAACTAAAGATTATTGTGGAACACTAGCATGACTATATATTCATAGCCACGTTTGTGACTAAGTCCTGTCACATACTAGAGGGAAATAATGGACGTGCTTGTGTCATGTTACAATTGATAACGTAACTGATGAAAAGGTATGCGTTCTGCACTGTGATTGAGTGATACCGTAACCCTTAAGTGATGAAAAATGGTCGAGACGAAGTTAGCATAACATCGAAAGAGTCACTTTTATACATCGAACTGCGTGGTTAAACTGACTTGCTAGCCGCTGATACCTCCAGAGGTGGAAATGTTACTGTTAGTCGCTCTAACTGCCGCTTTGAGGAGATTAAATAGCCGTCATGTGCAACTATTTTGCGACTAACAAGTCGTTAAATGTCAGTTTTGGCGAGAATGACTGCTTGAATGTAGTTTTCGAAGGAAGTTGGAGCAGGCTGGTTTTGAGTAAAACGTCGCATTTGTTAGATTTTTTTCTTCCCTATAGTTTAAACGGCACAGATTAGCTCAGGACCAAGGTGCCGCTAACACCTAAATCAACTACGTAGCCTCATCCCGTGAACCGTGGCGAATACTCACCACTGAGGAGTCCGTGAATACGGCTTAAAATGCCTCCGGTCGATCTTTTTTTTTTTTTTTTTTTAATTCCACCGCTACTCTTTATCCTCAAAAAAGAAAAAAGAAATGGTAAAAAGTCACGGTAGAAGATCAGAACAGGAGCACACGTTTTCTCTGTTGGGGTCCCGGTGGTCCACGTCCAGCCTGTCGTAGTGAGAGTTGAGTTCAGGGACTCTTGAAGCCATTGAAGACTTGCACGAGGTGTTTTTATGCGGTCTCCCTTGGCAACACCGAGGCACCACAGCGGCACCCAGCGGTCACACGCGTCCTACGGAGTGAGCCTCGGGACAAAAGTATCGGGACGCACGATGATAGATTTGTCTAAAACAATTTCACATAAATGACTTCCTTCATGATTTTTCGCATGTTTTTCAGATTCACAAACATATGTGCCATTCCAACATGTGTTTGCTGATGCCGTGTGAGCATTTATCATTACTTATCATTGCAATCTACGTGTGCCTTTGTGGATCAGCGGGCACGTGCATTTATTTTTGAGTCAGATAAGCGTCATGCCTTTTCAAGAGATTCACGCACGCACACGGTGGTCTCGGATATTCACGTGTGGAAAGGCCATTCCTCCTCCGTCCGTAAGGAGGCAGCGTTGCCTGAGACTGACATCACATATCCTCAGGTAACCACGTTTGCAAGCTGAGCCGCGGTTGGTCGTTACCTGAGCCGTGTGTCATTTTGCTGTCATTTTCAAGGGACAGCAAGTGACAAAATATTTTTAATGGTGTTGACGGCACATGACAAATAATCATACGCAAAACAGTCACCGTTTACTGCTGAAAACAAGCCAAATTTAGTTAAGTATCATTTTAATATGAAAGGTAGGTTACAACAATTTATACATTTACAGAATATTTAGTTGAGTGTTCACTTTTTCTCGAAAATAAATCAGTCACACCATGACCAAATGGTGTATTGAATTTACTCTTTTGTGCGCTGGGTACGCACATTAAAATCATCTGGACTTCGTGCTTTTTTTGTGGTTTAGTCTACTTAAAAAAGTATATGATCCAGATGATTTTATTTCGTGCAACTTCTGGATACTCAAGTAAATTCAACAAACTATTATGTTTTTTTTCTCAATGCAATCACTGGTTTTCATGCATCAGATGCACCCTGTGAAGAACATGGCCTTTACTTGCTCTAGAACAAATGCACACTATTATCACTTCTGATGGTATCATTTCAATAAATTGCAGTCCAATTTTGCTTTATGAGGAAGAGCATGTTCCCTTCTTACTACTGTATACAGTGAAAGAAATATAGTTCTCTTATAGTGGTTTAAATATGATTAAAAAAGGAAACCCAACCTTTTTTTTACATAATGATCAAGGATTTTATTTTCGTAGTCTCTTCCATCAGTTTCAGCATCATTACAGAAAATGTTTATAGTACAGCGTTTTTCAATGTCTCCTCATTGCTTTGTAATAACTTCCTTAGGAGTGCTGGTCACATATCTGTACAATATGGTTCTATTTATTTTCTTTTTTCTGTACAATTTTGTGAAGTCGGTTAAAAAGGCTGTCAGCAATTAAAGAAGCTGCTTCTTCTCTTGCTTTTTCTTTCTTAAATAGTTGCTCAAATAAAATATATTTCCCCCTCCCCCACCCCAAGCTGATCCCTGGGCAGGGGTATGTAGTCAGGGTGGTGGGCAGGGCGGGAGCAAATGTTCCACCTGGTTACCGCAAACTTAAGGAAGCTTGGGCGCGCCCTGCACCCCACCCCTCTCTGACTCTCCCCCACACCCAGGCATTTGGCACGCGCACATAAACAAGACTCACGAGATAAACGACAAGCAAAGCTCTTTGTGAAGCCAATATGATGCATACTAACGAGAGAAAAAGTGTCACCTTGATGGGCGCTCAAAAGCGAAAAAGACCTCGATGTGCCCCTCTTTTCCTCCGAACTGCAGCACCATGGGAAATCTGGAGTCTTCAGTATTTTTCTTCATTTTCAAAACTAAATAAATTAAAATCAGGGTAAGGGTATTTTTCCACTAAAGATGAGAATTCTCCCCCCCAGTCCTGGCAGGCACCTACAGCTGTCTATTAAAATGCTACTGCTATAGATAAGGTCGAGCGTTGAACACACAAAGCAATTGCAATGAAAGGAACAAAGTTGCCTTAATATAATAATGATGAGAAGAATAATCATAATAATAAGAATAATCAGAATATATTACAGAATAAATCTCTTTATCATTAAGATTTGTTTTTTTTTCTCCATTAAAAGTTGTATTTTCTCTCTTTCAAATACTATACTCTCCGTAAATCAAGTTTTTCTTATACAGTATATCTAGGCTGTGATCGAGATGTCGACTATATCTCAACGTTCTCCAAATCAACAAAAACTAGCTGTGCCGTTGCATATTACAGAATAGTCGATGATATGTGGACATGCACCGTGAACCGCCCGTGAACGACCCTCGCGAGAAACGACGGCGACCCTCCGCCCCCCGCCGCCACGACATCATAGCCGGCCGATGACCATGACGTCCACCACTTCCCCTTTGTGCAGCTCCACGTATTGCTCGGTTTTGGGAGGTAGCATCAGGAGCCCGTTGGCGCTGCGCATGCTCATCAGTCTGCTGCTCACCTGGTTCCCTGCAGGGAGCACAAGGGCGAGCAGCTTCAAATGAGATCAAAGGGCTACGCGGAAAAGTGCTCCCCACCATATTCTGGCGCAGCTGCCCATTTCCGGGACACTTTGGGTAAGGCGCATGTAGGCAGATGCCTGAGGTGTAAGAGGGCTTTGTACGGCCCCTAAAATCGCGAAGGCGTTATTCCAATACATTAAACAAATATATTTACGTCACATTGTGACATAGTAAGGAACCACTCCTCTATTGAGAGGTGCCGATCCAAGTGGCATCATGGTGAGGCATGTTTAAGCCAATGGGAGGCCTCAAGGCACACAGAGACGGCGTGTCGCGCGGCTAGCCTTGGAACGCATCTGATGTTACCTGTGCTCTGGGCCCACGGCAGAGGCTCCTGGTGATGCCACGTCAGGATGCAGCGGTGGTATTCGGGGCGAGGATCCAATTTCACATCACAAGATAACTGCAATTGATCAGAGAAAGTGATTCTTTTCAAGACGAGACAAAAATGACACCATACCTTTTGGTTCAAACCCAAAACATGGCTGTGAATGTGCTGTTGCTCCACCCGCGCTTACCCTCGCTTTGATGATGGTCGGCCTTGGGTCCAAAATACCCTGCATCTTCCTCAAGGCAGGGATGACAAAAAGATTACAGGTGACGACAGCGGATACGGGGTTTCCTAGGACAGAAGCCCGCGTGGAAGGATGGATGGCGGATGGACAGAGAGAGGGGAGATAGATGAAGACCAACTCCTCGTAAAAGCGTAGTAAATCGCGTCTTTCTCTCAACTTCACACACTACCTGGGAGGGCAAAGATGAGTTTACGAGCACCGTCGATATCCAGCGTGGCAAAGGTGGTTGGGAGCCTGTAGGTGGAGGGAGGGGGTGGGGGTAGGAAAAAAACAGTTGACATTGATTCGTAGTTAGTCATCCCGTGGCAGTCAAACACGTTGCAGAACCTGCTGGTTACCCTGGTTTCATGAAGACCCGACCAAAATGTATCTGAGCATGAAGATCTATATCCAGCACCTGTTTTAGGTAGTCCTGAAAATCAACATTTTATTTTTAATTTTTTTTATGCTGCAGTACTTAATGTCTACCACAACGTGTCAGTAAAGCGCAGCATCAGCTCGGACTTGATTGATACCTTCTCTCCCATGGATACTCCGCCTGAGGTGATAATGACATCAGCACGGCTGATGCCTTCGTTCAGAGCATTGAGAAGGTCATCGGGGCTGTGGGATGCACACAAACGCACCGACGGTGTTGAATAGCAACTCACTTAGCCAAATATGAAACCGTTGCTGGTGAGAGAGAGAAAAATGGAGGCATACTTGTCTCCCACAATGCCAAGATTGATGGTTGGGTAGCCATGTTCCTGGATGGTGGCCAGTAGGGTGGAGCGATTGCTGTCCCGGATCTTCCCGGGATGGAGGTCATCCTCTGGGTTCAGCAACTACATGAGAAGAAAAATACTGGATCCAGCCGTTCACAAGTGAGCAATTTATAAATGGGATTGTATTCCGCCGCCGACTGTTGAATTCTGCGGTCAAAGCAGACAGCGATGACTGTGCATAAACATGAGCATGGCACTCTGCCAAATTATTTTTTTCTTTCAGCAGAGGCTTTTTCGAAATCCAGACAATGTGAATTTATTGCGGTGGATTGAGATATAATCCTCCGAAATGAAAATCAAATTCCTCATGACCTACCTCATTTCCTGTCGACATGACGGCCACCACGGGAAATTTCTGGACCTCCACCTCCGTGACTCCCACGGTGGCCAGGAGGCCGATCTCAGAGGGGCCCATGTGAGTGCCCTTGGCCAGCACACACTCGCCACGCTTGATGTCGTGACCGATAGGCCTGATGGAACAGACAGGATGGAAAATGCCTTTGGAGGCTGATACGTAGATGCCAAATCCAGGACAACAAAGGGGGTGGATGCAGAAGTCATTTGGAAAAATAACACCAAAGATGATTTATTTATGTTGGTGTTGTAGCTTGTTCCATAAGGGTTCATTTTGTCTCTGCTTTTTGCAGATGGAAATCCATTTCCGGTAACTAACCTGATGTCCTGGCCTGGCCGAGCCTGGACTAGAATTCGTACTTCCAGTTCCTCAGTGCCCTGAAAGACAAACTAGTTGACAGAAGTATTTTATAACGACAGTAATATCTGCTGCTTTTCCACTGCACAGTCCCGGCTTAGCTCGGTTCTACTCCTCTATTTGGGGTGGACAGTTTTCAATTTGAATTAATGAATATTACTATTGTGCATATACCAGCATGTGTGCATTTTTGCCATTTCTAAAAAGATATGATTTGACCACGGGTGCTACAAATAGCACCTGCGAAGGCATCAATCTAACGACAAAGATCTTAGTCAACTCTGTTCAGGCAGAGATCGACAATTACCTTCCATTAGAGTCAAACTTACATCTTCGGACTCGCGGAGGAGCTCGGTGTCTTCCACCTGAACGACGGCGTCAGCCCCGCAGGGGATGGGAGCGCCGGTTGTCACCCTCATCACCTGGCCAGGCATCACGGTGTGGGTGGGCTGCACGGCGACACACACAGGGACAAAGCAAGAGGACTCATCTTCACTGTGAGGTCATTTGAGTCATTCCAAAGTTGACTCTCCGTCTTACCTTCAGTTAAACGTGATAGATGCCCGTCA